CATTTAAAACAACCAGAACTAGGAACTGGGAGGGCCGTAGGGAAAGGGCGCCCTGACCACAGAGGGGTCAAAATGGTGCAACCTTTCTATAGGGCAAACTGTCAGCATGTATTAAACCATCAAACTATGCAAATCCTTTGACATAGTAAGTCCACAGGTAAGAATTCATCCTAACGAGATAACTGAATAATGCCCAGAGATATATGAATAAGAACCAGTAGGTTCTTATTTGGTACAAGGGTGGATTTCAAAAGACATATTATGCCATCATTTAAAGTATTGATACACCTGTGTTTAATGCCCTGCTAAAATGTCCATAAAATACTGTACATATAAAAAGTAGATTATAAAATGTCTTTTTTCAAAAATTATACAGGTAACTTAAAAAAATCTATTAAAAAAATGTAAAGGCTGAAAGTATATCAAAATGTTAACAATGGTGTCTAAGTAGCATGTAACTAGAAAGTCAAGGAGAACTTTGCCTACCTTCTTTACTTTTTTATGACTTTTAAATATTTTTTCCACAGTGCTATTTATAACTGGCAAAGTAATCAAATAATAAATTAATTAAATCAATCCCTTAAAAATGCCAAAGAGTTTGTGATCAAAACCAGGACTGATTTTTTTTTTACCCTAAAAGTCTTCCTTGTGATACCTTCAAGTTCTTTAAATTGTTCATAGCTAAAAGCCTGAAGTAAATTCATAGGAGGATTAAGCTGCAAGAGATTTCCAAGTTTTATCTCCTGCTTTCAATTCTCTACAGAATGATACATATCCTTGGATTTACAGAAAAGCTGACATTGAAGGTTTAGTTTCTAGAATGTAAGCTCAGGGCCTGTAGAAGGAGAGAGAGAGAGAGAGAGAGAGAGAGAGAGAGAGAGAGAGAGAGAGAGAGTAAGGATTGTGCATAAAACACCATTAGCAGAGCACAGAATATTTGAAGGTTTAGTTTCTAGAATGTAAGCTCAGGGCCTGTAGAAGGAGAGAGAGAGAGAGAGAGAGAGAGAGAGAGAGAGAGAGAGAGAGAGAGAGAGAGAGTAAGGATTGTGCATAAAACACCATTAGCAGAGCACAGAATACGAAGTGTACAAGATGAATCTTTGATGGATGAGGCAGTATTTTTTACCGATCCCCATTACAAGGGTGGGTTTCAAAAGACAAGGTCCAAAAAAGTAGCAGATATTTTAAAGACCTGACAAAAGCAACTTCTAGATAACCCAAGAAAATGTCTTCCAAGATGGCAATGGTGCACTACACACCTTAGACCCTCAATAAATATTCCTTAATTTAAAGTAAAAAGCAGGTAAACACACTTCCTTTTCCTTCAGATGGATACAGGTAATTTAAATGTAGTAAGAATTCACATCTAAAAAGAGAAACTATTTAAAATATACTACAAACCTGGGGTTATAAGAAGTGTGTCTGGTGGCCTAAGTTTGCAGAAAAATAAAAATCTTGTTTATAGGGAACAGGTGTCACCAAAAATCTATTTGTAAACAGATGTACTGAATTCTGAGCACATTTCCCATCAAAACAATGTTATAACAGTGGTTAACTCTCAGCCTAGTCCATGAAGCCTATTTAGTCATTAGTGAGAACTATTTATCCCACACTTCCATTTCAAGTGAATGGCACTGGTGGTCTAAGTGAAGAAACCAAAAATGCTAGGGGAATAAGAAAGGCTCCCCTTCACTTGGAGCCGAAGGCTCTCCCTGAGACCCTCTCCAAAGTGATTCTCCAGCTAGATATACCACCAAGTAGGTCATACTTTTCCTAGGGTCAACCCATAGCCAAATGATCAGTCAATGGGGGATGGAGGAGTTTAAAGACCCTGCCCCATGCCTTAAGGTAAGGTAATTCTGAAAGGCCATCCCAGCTCCAGAGCTCCCCATTTGAAGTGCATCACAGTTCAACTCCTCACTTGGTTCAACCCCCCTTTCCTCACTCCCCCACTAGTAAGTCAAGCATTACTGTTTACATATATATAGTATGTATGTAATACATACCATAGATGTACTTTACAAGATATATGTATGGATGGATACTATAATCCCATTTCACACATGCAGAAACTGATAGTTATAATCTGCATGATGACTACGTCTTTAAAAAAATGACTGGCAAATCTTGCCCACCTATAATTAAAGTGCTACAATATGTACAGAAAGATATTTGCTATGTAGGAAGAGGATGGCTTTCCTCACCTTTTACTCCAATCCCTGCAAACAGCTTCCTAAATCAGTATCTAAAAATGCACTAACGAAGTTCTTACTAGGGGTACAGATTCCTTACAATTAATATTCCATTTACCCAAGATGTACAATTGCAACCAGTTCAACTTCTTCAACTACAACTGTACTGTACTGTAGCTTCCCCAAGCTTTCCCTAACTATCTTTCATAGAGTAAGTAAGTATTTATACCTATTGATAGTGAACTAAGAACTAATATTACCCTGCCCTGGTGCCCACACTGCTCAAGAACTACAAAACATAAAACAATTCTATAAACTCCCAACAACTACAAATAAATACTATTAACTTCAAGTGAAGTCATTGAGTTTGCATGCTAGGAGATGTAGATCACAACTGAGTTGAGCAGTGAAAACAAACCATTAAAAAGTTTAATAAGATGCAGATTTACTACATCTCCAGAATAATTGTTTGATTTGTAATACCCATAACCATAAAGTCTAATATCACAGCTAAGTAAAAAACTGAAATGTATTTATACATACTAGTCAAATGTTATTTTAAAATTCAAAAATAACTGGGCCATATCAGTTGATTCTGAGAGTTTGCACATATCTGTTGCCCCTTCCTTTAAAAATTCACTGATGCTACCTCTTCCATCCCTATATTACTAAACACAGTTTTAAATGGCAAAAAGAAAGCACTTGTACTTTATTTAACAATTTTGCATATAGGATGCCTTAGCATCCATGTTCAGTTATCATTAACTGCACATTCTTCAAATTAGGATGGGTCATTCACTGACTTCACACCATGTCAGAACCAAGAATTTGGCATCATAAAATTCAGCTCACTGATCTAAGTTTCACCTTCTCTAGCTCAGATTACAGTAATGTTTGACCCATTTCTTCCTTCTCCCCACCCCACCCCCACCCCATTCATTTACTAAAACAAGCTCCAAATCTGAAATGCATAGCTTCACACAAATATATACATAACTGCTACACAGACTTGAGTTTGCCGCTTCAGAGGAGAGTAATAGTACCATAACCAGTTTATGCACAAGGAGATAGCATCAAAAAAGTCCTCACACTACCCTAAAGTGGTCTAATCTTTTGGAGAAAGAAAAGGAACAGCCAATCTGAAGCTTCCATACACAGTATAGCAGAGTAACCCAGAACCACCACCAGAACTAAACTGCAAGCTCCATGAGGACCAGAATGATCTCTCTGATTACTCTACCTACCACTGTATCCTATAATATTTAACACAGTACTTGCAAAACTGTAGTGCTTAATATATTTTGAATAAATGACAGCTATCATTCATTGATCACTTACTTTTCCTGAGGAACTACTATACTAAGCTGTTCAAAATGTAACAAGCCTCTAAGACAAGAACTGGGAACTAAGTAGGGAAGGGACACTCTGGGCCTCATAATAACCCGATGAGGAGACCAAAATAACCAGCATAATTATTTTTTCAATTTCACAGGTGAGGAAATTGAGGCCAGAAAGGCTGGCTTTTCCAAAATGGCAAAGTTTTAAATGGCTGAGCCAGGAGTCCATCTTCCTTCCCTTCTGCCACATCAATACCAAAATGAGGTTGAAAGCTATTAAAACAAAAGAACATGGAGAAGACAGTCTGGCCAAAAGATGTATTATCAAACACTCACAAACGGATTCAGTTTGTTTCTGAGTGAAAAAAGAAATCTTCCTATGTCTACAGTGCAGAGACAGTCAGTGGGGCCTAAGGTTCTGCTGTTTCTAATAGGCTGGCTTCAGTCTCCTGTGTTTAGAACACTGTTGGGTTCTTCTAAGTGCAGGTGCCCTGTTTCAAAAGTTACTGATCTAATAAAGAACAGCTTCAAAGGCTGAAAACTACAAGTTAAAAGCCAGAGAGAAAGATCCTCACCTTCCTTCATTAAGATATACCTATATTCCCATTCCTGAAAAACTACCTGACCAGAGGAATTCAAACTGTCCAAGAAAAAAACGTGTGCTAGCACTCCACAACGAAGGCCATGTCTCTGTAGGACAACGGCAATCCCATCACATCTTCACTGTTGACTAAGTGTCCCCTCAAAAGGTGCATTCAGACACTACCTAAGACTACTAGCGGTGCTTCCAAAAACGTGAAACACAACTAGACAATGCTTTTTTTTTTTAAACTCCAGACTGAGAACGGAAGTCAAGTTCAGATTCTCTTCCTTCCTCAAGCGAGCAAGAGAATTAAACAGCACCCCACACACACACACACGCCGTATAGTAAAAATGTCTCAGGACCTCTTCACCTGTGGCAATCGTCAGAGCAGGCCTGGATTTGCTGGGATTTAAGGCTGTCTTTCACCTGAGGGGGAATGGCGGGTGGGTGAGGGGGGCACAGGGAAGAACGAACTGGTGCCCAAGTTTTCAATCGGATCATTCTTCTCGACTCGGGCAGCTCTTTTCTCCCTCCCTTCTTTCCTTCCTTTCCCCCTCCCTCCGGCCGGGGCACACACTCGGCTTTGCCAGGGCGGGCACCAGGGCCGGGCCGAGGGTGGCGCTGCGGCGGCCGGACACCTGGGCGCCCCTCGGAGTCCGGGACGCGGGCTGCCCAGGGCGTGCGGCCGGCCGGACCCAGGCCGGGCCAGCTCCGTCCTCGGCCGGGCGTGGGGACCGAGGAGGGGCGGCCGCGGCGGGGCGGAGGGGCGGGGTGAGCACTTCCTGACTCTCGCATTGTCCACGCATCGCCCGCGCCACCCAGGGCCCCGCCACCGCGCCGTCCCCTCGGGGAGGAAGTTGGCGCTCGCCCCGCCAACCCAGTCTTACCGTTCTTGGCATCGCCCGCGGCCGCAGCCCCCGGGGCGGCCGCGGCGTTGGCGGCGCCAGTGCCCGTGCCTCCGGTGCCCGCCGCGCCCCCGGTGCCCGCCGCGCCCGCCGCCGCCGCTCCACAGCCGGCCGCTGCAGCCAGGGCCCCGCCGGCCGCCGCGCCCGCCGCGCCCGCCGCCGCCAGGGCCCCGGCTCCATTTTCCTGCTCGTCCCCGCTGCTGTTGGCGCGCTTGTTTTTGCGGCCGCCTTTACTGTTTTTGGGGTTGGGCATCTCGCGAGCGTCCAGGTGCCCCGCGTCACCGTAGGCGGCTGCCGGAGACGCGACAGCTCCCGGCCCGCGCGGAACCGGCTCCCGCAGCGAGAGAATGGAGGGCGCGGGCCGGCGGCTCCTCCGACGCCCGTCTAGCCGCGCGGCCCGCGCCGCGCCATCCCGGCCGCCGCGCCCTCCCCGGCTTCCTGGAGCCGGCGCGCGGCCACCAGAGGCTCGCAGCCGCGCGGACGCCGCGGGCTCGAGGCGCGAGCGAGACGCTCCCGAGCCGGAGGGAAAAGGCGGGTCTACGGCTTGTTTTGATTCGGCTTGGCTGACACGCTCTGGCCCCGCCCCTGCCTGTGACGACACTGGGGATTCGGCCTGGCCGCGCCCACCAGGTGACCTCACGGTGGACCGGCCGCGTGCGTGACGTCAAGCCCCGCGCTAAGCCGGCCGCGTCGAGTGACGTCATCCTGGCGCCCTCTTTCCGAGCCTCCGGAGCTGCCGGGCGTCGGCGAAGCGGCTTCCAGAGCTGACCGCGATCGCCAATCCGGTGGTGTCTGAAGGTATGCGGCTGCCTCCTGACCTTTACGTAAAAGAGATTTACAACAGTATGGTCCGGAAAAAAGCAGGCGGGTGACTAGAACAAGAATGGAAAACAAAGGATTTCGGATTAACAATCCATTGAAAGGCTTTGCCCTTCAGGAACAGTATTAGTTTCAGTAATTACAGAAATGGGGCTGCGTTCCTGGACGGCGAGAATGGACAAGACGGCCGCTGAATGAAAAGCCGGCACAGCTTAGTGGTGAAACATTTCATTCAAACTGGACCCACCAGCTAGGATGAAACTAAATGTTGTCTGTGACCCAGAAGGAGGCCCTGTCTGGGGGCAAACCCAATCTCTGCGTAGGATTGAGTAGTCCTGAGAGAGAAGTGGCTGCACTGTGAGCAGGCTGGATTAGAACAGGACACCTGTGAAGAGAGGCAATGACTTGAGGGCTGGCGACCCCTGGGAAGAGTTTCACTTGGTCTCCCTTTTTTACAACTCTATTCTGCCTTTGCACAGACCAGCTCCTTCCCATCCCTCAGGTCCCAGCTCAAACACATCCTTTCCTTCAGGACATTCAACAGAGACACTTCCCCAGAAGAGCTATAAGAAACATCACCCTGTTTATGTCTCTCATCATCTCTAATTATATCGTCCATGCATATGTTTACTTTTCCCTATCACCTTCTCACTCAAATGGAAGTTCCCTAGGTAGGAGATGTTCTCTCATAGGCACCTCAGGCAACAGCTAGCATATATTTATTTGTTCAATGTGTAAATTATTCTCTTTTTTTCCTTTATTCCCTACAACTATTTTAACTGACAGTTTACAGTTTTCCCCCCTATAGTGTAATCTTTAATTAACCCAGCCCTTCAGTAAAGCTCTGTAGCTGTGTTGTGAAGCATCAAGAGACAAAAAAGGAACGCAGGTGGAAGAATACTCGAACCCTCCTACTGTATTCTGACTGGGCTCTGGGCGTGCATAGCAGAGTCCATAACAGAGCCAAGAGCTACAGGGAGGAGCCTGGATACTTGGGAGCAATTGCTGGCTGGACTTTCATAGAGTGAGAGATACATACATAGATATTCTGTGTTTATATTTTCACATCTGTATCTCCCCCACCCTGATGTTCTCTAAGCACTGAGAGCGCGGATTGAGTCTATCTTTCTAACTCTGCAGTCCCGCAGAAAGTCTGACCCAGAGTAAGTGTTAATGAAAATTTTTTAATGAAAGATGCCTAACACATTCTTCTGGCTACATTTTTCTGAACCTTAAAGTCTCAGGTAAATCATGGATTCTCTAGAAAGTCTTTTCTAACAGCTCAAAGCCTAGACTCGTCCCCATATGCCCCCCTGACCTTCCCCACCCCAACAGCCTGCACACAAGGTATTAAAATTGCCTCTTTATTAGTCTATTGTCTGGGCCCCCACTAGAGAGAGAGTATCCGCTCTGTGATGGCAGAACTGTGTCTTAATCATCATTGTAATCCTTGGTGCCTGACACAGTGCACGGTACACAGTATTTTAATAAATGCATAACAAATAACATGAATAAATGAATGGGCAAATGCTTTGAAGTTAGATGGAGCAGGCTTTGGTGGCCACTTGAATGTGTGGGATAAAGGAAGTCAAGAAATTCTGAAAACTAGAGGAAATGATGATGGTAGTAAAATAAATGGAGACTTTAGGGGTAGTGCAGTGGAGCTGTGGAGGAAGATAAGTTAATGTGGCCCTTTCAGATTTAGCTTAATTTCATTACTGAAGGTGGCTGAAAAATCTCAAAATATTTTAGTGACCTTGGCTTTGCCCTTTTTTCTTCTTTTGCTGTTGTTGTTTTTTTTAAGTGGTGAGAAAGAAGTTTTTTGTTAGAGTAAAAGAACATGGAGATAATTATTGTCTTAAATATGCACATTGCTGTTGTGCCATGTTGGATCAGAGTAAGTATGCATGTACCCCGCAGACAGACAGTCACGCCAGCTGCCTCCCACCTCTACATAACTAAGATTTAAGAATTGGAAGCATTCCCACAAAAATATCACAATTGGCTCAGAGCACACAGACATTCAGCCAGTTGCTGTTCTTGTTCATTGTGTGAGCTACCTCCTCATTCAAACCGAAACAAAATGAAAAGGAGGAAGGAGAAGCTAGGCCATTTCTTCCATGCTCAACCTTGCTAACCTATTTTTAACCTTAGTCAAATTTCATGCAGAGGTAATAGTTTTGATTTTATTGCTACCAAAAAGAAGTACTAAACTCAAGATGTTCAAAACAAAATTGAGGTGAGGCTAAAGGACTCCATTTCCTATTTCCATACAACATGTGGAATACCCTGGTATCCTAGCCATTTTCTTTCCCTTTTTCCCACCATTTCTGCAGAGAGAGAGAGAAAGATAGGGAGAGAAAACCTCTCTCTCTCTGTCTCTTTCTCTCCTTCAGATGCATGGTGACACAAAGCCCTCTTCTCAGATGCTTCCAGAAGGAAATATGAAGACCTCTGGGAAGCCCGGGAAGCCACTGTGCTCTGTGTATCCACACTTGGCTTCTCTTTCTTTAATTTCCCTGACTGACTCATATGGTCTGAAGTAAATTTCAAAAAAATTATACCTCTATCCAAGGTTTCCTTCCCCCAAATTTCATCACCCATTCTATCACCCAGGTCTTAGTAAAACTAAAACACAGCAACAAATCAAGGTTATCAAAGGTAAACAGTTTTACACTTTTGGGAAAAGGACCAGGGTAATCTTCAAAGTCGTCATTGTTTCACTGTTCTTGTTCTGTTTCTTTTTTGCTTGATAATCGTGCCCATCTTCTGAACTCTTGGGGTCAGCTAAATCATCTGGGCCAGAGTTAGCCTGATCTGCTAAAGTCACCTCACGTAAATATATGCTGAATAATGTATATTATCTCTGGGCACCAGTTTCTTCTGAAAATAGCCTCTCTCATGCCCACAAGTTTACTTTGAGGAATAATGATAACTGCAATTATAAAGAACTTTGACAAAAATGGAATACTAATGCAAATGATAGTACAGGTTATTAAATGCCATAGATCTGCTCTCCTATTAGCCTATTCCCAGTTATCAATATAAATATTTTTTCTCAAATATGTGCCCTGAAAATCTCTTTTCAGGCCTTTAACTTTTACAATATTTCCACAATCAACAAAAGCAGTTTTTTCTGAGATCAGAATTCTGTTCTCAGTGACCCCTAAACTTGCTGCTTACTGCAGCCTTGTTATCTTCTTTGCTCAAACTGTTGTCCCAGCACAGCATCCACACTATTTCTGGGCCCCAATAATCTGAACAGGATGTTCCTTTCAAGAGATAGATCAAGTATAGTGTTTTCCAAGACAGACTTCTCTGGATTCATACCGCTCAACATTCTTTCACTATGTAACTGTGTATGCTCACCACCTGGCTACACCAATGTTTTCCAAACTTTGGGTCATATTCTTTTGGCAGTTTGTGAAATCAATTCAGAGGATTTCTACCAGCACTTTTTGAAAATTGGGACAGAATAGAAAAATACCAGAGTTCATTATATATAGAAATTAAGTATTGTTTTATAAAACATACATATTTTATAAAATTTACACACATGTATGTGTGGGTATGTATGTATGTATGTATACTGAGTCATGATGTAAGGTTCATTTCTCATTATGGGTGCAAGCCAAAAAAAAAAAAATATCTGAAAGCCACTTACTATACCATGCCATGAAGTATTTGACTTATATAAGCTGTCTTTCCACGGTCTTCTCACATCAGGGAGAGCATTTTATCTCTCCAAATATATTTTAAATTCTTCAGCGACAGGCATCATATCTTTCCTCTTTTAGATTTCTTCCAGTGAACCTACCATCAAGAACACTTTGCTTGCAAGTTCCATATATATGCCCAAACAAGCCACACTCAAAGACCTGAAATTCTAATGGGGTCGGAGTGGGGTGGGGTGAACATACAACTACAGATATATGAAACAAATAAAAATTAACCAACTATTAACCTGTAATTGAAGAAAACAAAAAAGATGGGTAGGTTGTATTTTGTTTTGGTTTGTTACCTTATGTTCTGGGGGTGGGGGGGTATGGTCCCCTCAGATCCCCAGAAGATAGAGGGGTTGGTGGAGGTTGCAATTGTCAGAGAAGACTTCATGGGAAAGCCTTGAAAATCAGCCTTACCAGAAGCATGAAAACAAGAATAAGTAGGGAGCATACAGAGGAGAGAGAGAAAGCTGGAGACTCTGGGGTGCGTTGGGTTGATTTAGAAAACAGATCATGATGAGACCCAATGCAGCAGCGGTCACACAGTTGGTTATACAGCCCAGACTTGATATGGTAAGGGAGCTAGAACTCACTTTCCCTCTCTCCATTCCTTGCTTTCTTTTTCTCAATAATACTTATTTCTATACTATGTTTTTTTATTTTTACTACTATATAATGTATTTTATTTTTGTGTTTATTTGCTTTGTTTATTGTCTGTCCCCACTAGAAGGTAGCTTCCACAAGGGGGAGGATATCTCTGTTGAACCCTCAGTGCCTCAAACAATGCCTAGCAGTTAGTAAGTGTTCAATACGTATTTGTGGAATAAAAAAACATACAGAAGAACACCTAAAAGGAATAATCCAAACTAGACTCCAAGAAAAAAAAATAGTAATATCTTCTTCAG